AAAGCTGATCAAGTAAAATCAAACCAAACTACAGAAAAGGGATGAAACATTTATACACTGGTCATAGCAAAACCTTGTGCATTCTCATATATACAATCTCATGAAGGGATACATCATTCTCATTCTCAGAAGAATCTCATACACTGTACATTGCTTGATCTACATTGTTGTACAACCACATGGGGAAAAGGCAAGCAACCCTGATGCATCGTCATCAGCTCTTCAGTTCTGAACATCTGACAACTCTGCATTGTTTGTTTCTTTAGTTGCGAACGTCGATCGTCGATCCTTAGATTGGAACTGAAAATCTTTAACATCTGAAGGCCACGGAGAACGTACTCCCCCATGGGGACTGCTGCTTCTATGGTTTTATGTATATTCCTTTCTTCAGTTCTAAACACCTTGCAGCTTTCAGAGATACTAGTAGCAACTAAGGCCAAGCATGACCTTCAAAAAAAAAAAAAAGCCTAAGGCCAAGCATCAAGTTTAATTATTCTGAGACACAATTCTGAACTGTTTTCAGCAGTTTGGCACAAGGCACAAAGATCTTATACTAGTTTTTTTATTTTTTTTCTGAAGGTCAGATCTTGTACTACGTAGTTGGTAAAGAATTTACAGCAAATCATATTAAAAGTATTCATAACGAGTAAGCTTATACAGTTTGGTGCCGGTGACTCTCAGTTGGCTGTGGCTGAGGCCTCCCGACGGGACGGGCCAAGAACAACCATGGCAGCAAAGCATGCAGGTTGCAGGCAAGTTTTATTAGCAATCATGAGATCTCCGTGGGGCGTGGGAAGATTTGGCAGGACGGGACAGCCAAGCTAGCGTGCAGTCCTATCCTAAAACCTACTTGGTCCTAAACTAGAGGTCATCCTATAATTTTCTAGGCATAATAAGGGTGTGTTTAGTTCGCGAAATGAAAATTTTTGGATGTCACATCGGATGTTTTGGGGATGTCGGAAGGAGTTTTCGGATACTAATAAAAAAAACTAATTACATAGCTCGTCTGGAAACTGCGAGACGAATTTATTAAGCCTAATTAATCAATCATTAGCGCATGTTAGTTACTGTAGCACTTATGGCTAATCATGGACTAATTAGTCTTAAAACATTCGTCTCGCGATTTCCAACCAAACTGTGCAATTAGTTTTTTTCGTCTATATTTAATACTCCATGTATATGCCACAAGATTCGATGTGATAGTTTGGGGTGAAAATTTTTTAGAACTAAATCAAGCCTAAGTATCTAAATATAGCCACTATTTATACTAGTCCATTAACTCGTGCTCTCGCACAGGCTAGAATTTTCAAAGGTGTACTATTAGTATATTTTATTTGATTAATAAAAAATTACTTATATTAAATTGTATGTTTTGCTTTGTTTATTTTCTACAAAATTGACATAATATATATACTTTGTAGTCTAATCTAATGATCATAAACTTAATAATTATTTTTTTTGCAAGGGACTGACTTGCATATTTTTCATGCATATTCATACTTTTACTTTGCATGGTACCTTCTATATTTTAATATGCAATTAGTTTGTTTCCTTGCCATTAAGTATGGTGACCCTTGTTGCATCACATATATTAAGTCATGAATCTGATTTTTTAACTTATATTTTATTGACTGCTATAGATTTTTCCTCAAGTTAAAACTCTTGTGCTTATTGTATCTTTTACTAACTCTCATTTTGGATTGTTTTAAAATAAGCATTTTAGGTCATATAGTACATCCCTAGATACTACAATAGCATATGCAATCATGTGAAACATGCACCATGTCACCTAAGATAAGTGATAGAACTTGAAATGAGATCTCTGATGGGCGTAGCAATGCTAACCTTAAGAGAATTTTAATCTTATTAAGCCTTATAATGATCAAATTACTCTAGAGTAATGATAAAGTACCAAAAAATAGCCATCAGTAGCCTCCCACAATTCTTAAGTTGATTGAATTTTCCTATCAAGGAATTATATGTGCAATTATGGTTATACTATCAATATATACGTGTCAAACATTTATTTAAAATATATAAATATAGACAAAGTGACAACCCATATAAATTATGTCATGGTTACTAATATGGTCTTAGAAAAAAATTGTTAGCATCATTAGTATATGAGTTGTGAAGGAAATATGTTGTTGATGAAACATAACATATATATTTATCACTCATGCATGCTGACACAATGTGTATGCTTACATTAATCAAATCTTAATATAATAATATTGATAGAAGTGGGCAATGTACAAACATTTACATGTTCTATGGTTATTTAAACAATTTTTCATAGAAGATATTGATTATCTTTTAGATGTAGATTTGAGAGCATATTTAATTTCCTTAGTAATGAGATGAGAATTGGGATACATAAATTATTTATTGCAATAGGAGTACGTGGGTAATTAGATGCAAATTTAGGTCTACTTTAGATATGTTTCTTAATGGCATATGCAGGTAGTTTAAATATAGTCATGAGTTATTTTTTGTTGTTTTATGTAATAGCAAAGGTGGGTAATTATTTAGAAAAGAGAATAGATCCAATAGCTATTATTATCAATGGTAATTAGGTTATACCAAATTGATAGTTAAATGTTTTATATTTTTGTGAGAAATTTCTATGATCTATTTTTTATTTTCCTATTGTGTATTGTGAGGATTAAAGTGGAGGCTCCATTAAAGACCTCTAGTTATCATTTCTAGTATTTATCTTTTTTTGCAGCATGACATGCATTTAGTTTAAACCTAACCATAAGATATATAAACTCTTATTGCTTCCATTTCATGAATTATAGTTTAGCTTTCGACTTTTAACCAAGTTGTACAATTTTTCCCGTGTAAGTAGAAACTCTAGCGTTTTTTATTTTTTATTCAAAATTTATTTTTCTTAAAAAGAGTTTATGTCTTAGTAATATTGTTTTCCGCATGTTAATTAAGTTGAAACTCATATTGCACCCTAGCACCGAACTTGTTGAATTGCTATATCATAGAATTATATGTGTGTAGTATTATTTTATATATCATAGAGTAGTAAAAATTAAATTACCAATACTGATATGACATAATAATGTTTTAAATAAAATATGTAAAGTTATTTAAAAACAACTTATAAAATTCATGATCTAGGAGTATTAATATAATTCAAAGGGAATTGTCGGTGTTATGTTATTGCTATATGGTCTATGAATTAAACATTTTCCATGATTATAAGCTATTAAAATAAATATTCATAGTAATGTATATATGTCTACATGGTATACATGGTCAGACATAGCACTATGGTTATTTAATTTCATAGCTGTAGAAGTTTGTAAGTTAGGAATATATATGTCATGTATTTACATGGTCAAACATAGCATTGTGATTACTTAATTTCATATTTCTAAAAGTTTGTAATTTAGAAATTTATATGTCTCATACTTTATGAATATAGATTTTTTGTAATAGCATATATTAGTATTTACATATAGATTTGAGGGAGGTGGGTAATTTATATGCAATGTGAGGGGTTATAATGAATTATGTTTCATAATGAAAAAATGGGCAATTTAGATATAAATTTAGGGGGTTATTTTGAATTATTTTTCATAATAATAAGTGTGGGTAATTTATATACAAATTTAGGGGGTTATTTTAAATTATCTTTGGTAATGGCAGAAGTGGGTAATTTATATGCACAATTAAGGGGTTACTTTAAGTATTTTTCATAATGGCAAAGGTGGGTAATTTTTTTATAAATTATAATAGATCCATTGGCTACTATCGGAGATGATGATTAGAGTATACCGAATTAAAGGCAAGATGTTTCTAATTATTGTGAGAATTTTAGGATTTATCTTTTTTCTTAGCGCGTCTGATGAGAGTTAACGTGGTGTCTCCGTTGGGGCCTCTAATTAGTAATAATAAGATAAGTAGCAAAAACTATATATACTCTTCTCTTTGTCTCTCAAAATAACCTCATTTCTCTTTTTAAGGAGTCAAAGGTTTGACTAGATTTATAGGAAATATTATCAATACTGGTATATCCTATTATGTTTATTATAAAAATATATTACACCACTATTAATCTATCGATACTATTAGGCACCATAAATCTTACTTAGTTTGACTTAGTTTTGACTTCTAAAAAAACGAAATGCGGAGTTACCTCAAGATGGAGAGAGTATATATTTAGAAAAAGCAAAACCACTTACACTTTAAAACGAAGGGAGCACTACATATTACAGGTCTCGCTTCTCCATGAGTAATTGTTTTAAAGATTAACTTAGTTTATTATAGTAAATAGTATCAACCTCAATATCTTGCGTGTGTACTATATATTTTGTTTGGTCGTCACATTCCGATTTATCTAATATTCTATAAGCATTTTATTTTAGTCTTCCATTAGCTTACCTATTTTTGGCGGCATATTTCATACGCACGCAATGATGTAACAATTTTGTTTTTAAGAAAGTCCTGTGACAATGTGTAGGGTATTCTTCTAGTTAGAAAACACTGAGAGCATCTTCAAAAGTTCTCTTAAATTCACTCTCTAAATCATCATCTGAAAAGCTATTTGAATAAATATTATTTTTTATAATTTTTTCACCCTGCAATACTTTTGTATATCTTGTACGTACTCTAGAGAAGCAACTCCGCTCTCCATCTTTAGCTAGTGAGAAATCTAAAAAAAAAAAATAATATTTAGAGATCTAACTAAAGTAAATATATTGTTGAAGGGTATATTTTTTTTACCAAAATCTCTATTCAATTGATTTTTATGAATAAAGGAAGGAAAGGATATAGAGAGCCTCCTGGCCTCTCTTTTGGACCCTCGACATATTCCCAAAGTATGGTATGATATATAAAAGAAGATTTTTGCTATTTTTCTGAATCCTATATCTATACAGAAACCAAAACAACCGGGTATCGTCTTGTCTATCTATAAATATACGACTATCCGATCGATCCTTCCATGTATCTGTTGCCCAAGACCCAAACTCCGGCAAGTGACCATGGTTGCCCGCCGCCGCCGCGGCAACCCCGTCGTGCCGAGGAGCACCGTGCGCGTTTACCGCAACCCCGTGGTGACCACAGTGACAGCGCGCCCGGGCGTCGCGCGCCGGTGGGTGCACACCGCCCTGTGGCGGCACCGACGGCCGCGTCTCTACTCCGCCGACGGCGACGGCCTCACGGTGGGTCTAGGCGTGCAGTGGACGCCGCCGTTCCGGAAGCTATCCCCGGGCGCCGAGCCGCGGCCGGGCACGCTGCAGCTGTCTGCGGGCAACAGCTGCCTGGTCTTCAAGATCGCGCGGACCGGCGGCGCGGTTCCCCGGATCCTGCGCCGGTTCCTGGCCGACGCCCGCGTCACGTTCGCCGCCTACAACGTGGCCTCCGACTGCCGGAAGCTGCGCGCGCACCACGGGATCGAGGTGGCGTCCACGCTGGAGCTCCGCAGCGCCGGGGATGGTCTGGGCAACGCGCCCATGGCGGAGATGGCGAACCGGCTGCTGGGCATCCCCCGCGGCCGGGTCGAGAAGCCCCGGTGGATCGCCACGAGCGAGTGGGACGGGAGGAGGCTGTCGTGGGGCCAGGTGCGCTACGCCGCCGCCGACGCCTACCTCTCGTGCCGCCTCGGCGAGCGCATCCGCCGCCGCTCCCGCCGTGGCATGCATGTCGTGGAGATTGAAGACGAGTACGAGTCCAGCGACGGCGACGAGTCCGTGGAGAGTCGGGAGCTGGAGCCTGCAGACGACGACGACGGTGACGACGGCCGGTGGACGGATCGGTTCGTAGGGTTCATTGGAGGATGGGTGCAAGACGAAGAGGATAGGTACGGTTTGGATGAATACGAGAATAATACATGCCTTCCTTATCAAACCCCAGCTTTTGTCATATACTAGCATAAGTATTAGAGTGGTGTTGGTAATAACTAGCATTGCATCTCTTCTGATGAGATGAATATATATGTATGCCGTATGCGTGAGAAGACAAGTTTTTGTAAGCCTAAGGTTTATTGTTCACTGCAATTCAGATGAGATGAATATGGGAATATATGCGTGAAAGCTTTTTTTTTGTTAAGATAGGACGGCAAAGGCTTTGCCGCGATTTCTATTAGATGAAGAAAGGAAAAAAAACAAGTGTCCATCCAATTTTTTGAATTGAAACTAGGCCAAAACACCATACAACTGAGGAGAGTGCATCACTCATCCTACACAACTTTGGTACAACTCCCGAGCAACTAACAAAACTCACACCACTACTTGCTCCAACCTGCTCGAATCGACCCCACTAACAACTAATAAGGGCTGAAGAAAAACGACGACCTGCTGGGTGATTTGGGACACCACCATGCATGAGCAACTGCGAAACTAGAAAGCCTAACAATGCCTCCAAGAAGGAAACGACGATAACAAGCGCCTCCAAGGAGGAAACAATGGTAACAAGTGCCGACAAGATAGCCCGTAAAGCGAAGGTTTTCACCTGCAACATCCAGTACGGCAGGAGTAGAGGTAGGAAGGATGCCTCCAAGAAGGGAACGACGTCGGCAGACATCGTCGTCCAAAGCATTCGCCCCTGCCTCAAGCAAACTCCACACTGTTGTTGTCGTAGACCCCACCCTACCAGGGAGGCAGGGAATGGCAATGGTTCAACAGCACCCCCGCCCGACCGCCGCCCCTAGGGACGCCGTCCATGAGAAGTGCCAGGAGAAACCCGTCGGGGAGTCTGCCCCTGCAGGAACCAACAAAACTGGCCAGCAGCATGCAGATCCGGCCAGCTCCGCCATGGGATCTAGCCCGAGGAAGGGGAAAGATAGATGAACTGGCCAGCAGCATGAAGATCCGGCCAGCTCCGCCAAGGGATCTAGCCCGAGGAAGGGGAAAGGTAGATGACGGGGAGAAGAGGGCCAGGATCAAAAGAAGCCCCAGTCGCCCAGCCCACCATAGTCCCAACCCCTGCCGAGCCAGCCCCGCTTCAACCACGCTGCGCAAGGCCTCCATCAACCTCCGCGCCGAGCTGTCGTTCTACACCGGCCCCACATCAACCATCGCCAGCGAGCACCACCGGAGCAGCTCCGGCCCAGGGACCGCCACAACCAGCATCAGCGGTGGCGGATCTACAACCTCACCATGGCCTGGCACCGCCAGCCGCGCCACCAAGACACCACAGACGCGCTAACGCCAGGCCGCCGCCAGCCAGTGCCACCATGGCGCCGCTAGAGCACACCCGGCCAAAGCCACGACCGACCACTCCACCACGGCGTCGCCGAAGAAGCCGCACCATCACCACCTCCGCGCCCACAGCACCGACGATCAGGACCAGCACGACCGCCGCACCACTACGCCGCCGCAGTCGCGACTCCGTCTCCGGCCGGCGGGCCCGCCGATGGTCAGGTTGGGGTTAGGGTTTGGTGGAGATCGGCCGGAGACAGGGAGGAGGCGGAGCACATGCCTCCACCGGCGATCTGCGCCCCAAGCCCGACCTACCACAGGCGCATAGGGAGGGAGGGAAGATGGAGGAGGAAGGGAGGGGAGAAAGTCCCAGCCGCCGCCGTCCTGGCCTTCGGCCGAACCGCCAGCGTCGGGCTCTGGCGGCGGCCAGGGATGGAGAGATGAGGGAGGAGCTCAGGGGTTGGGAGGGGGTGGCGCCGCCCGTGTCGTCCTCCGAGAGAGCGACGTGGGGGCTGGGGGTAAGCCTCCAACACCAAGACAAGCTTTTTTTAAGCGTAGGTCGTTTATGGTTCACTTCAATGAAAATACTAGATCTCTTGTTTTGGTGTTTTGTACATACATTGGGTTGGAGAAGAATGGACGTGAAGTCAAGTTTGCATATGTTGTCAGCATGCGTTGAATGTCAAGAATTCGTTTCGTTGCATGCATCCGCATGGCATTGTTCGTTAGTTGCCTTTTTTTTTTGTGGGGAAAGCCAGAGCTTCATATATTAGCCATGAACTGGATTACAATCAGTGTCTACAATATCCTGTAGCCCAGGTGGGGTTATACGCCACTCCACCACCTGGTTATCCCTAGACACTAGGCGAGCACATTCATGTGCTAAACTATTACAATTTCTGCTAACGAAATTTAAATGAAAAACTTCGAAGCTCCGGCAAAGATCTTCCATCTGCTGCAACAACGGATCGATCTCTGACCTCTGGCTGCTATGGTTCATCCACAGATTAACTAGGACCTGGCAGTCCGTCTCCATCTGCAGCTTCTGCACTCCACGGTCTCTCGTATATAGCATCCCATCGCGACAAGCCAAGGCTTCAACAGATAGTGCCGTCAGGCAATGAGCATGCCAACGTGCTGTCCCTCCTCATGTTCTCCCATCATGATCGCGAAGGACGACCCCCGAAGCTGCAGTCCTGATGCCTTCCATGAAAGAAGCATCAACATTGCACTTTGTCCACCCAACCTCTGGCTTGTTCCAGGACTGCTGTTTTCGCACTACGTGATCAGCACCTTTGGCCGGGTGAATTGACTGCCAGAGATCAAATGCAGTATCAGTTACCCACTGAACTGCTACCCTTATCGGCACCACATCTTCTCCATGCCGTCTCTTATTCCTTGACATCCAAAGAGACCACATGCCACAAATAATAACAGCTGCATCCTTCTCTGAAATCACACTCGGATCGACAAGGTCCCTTGCCCACGTGAGGGGGTGCAGCAGCGGCACCTTAACACCAGTGAGCAGCCTGACTTGATCCCAAAACAGTTTGGCAACCGTACAATCTAGCAAAGCATGTTTGATTGATTCTACATCCTCCCCACAGACTTCACAATTCGCCATTGGTTCGATATGTCTTCGATGCAGGACTCCTTCAGTTGGAAGGAAGCCGTTTACCACCCTCCACCAAAAGACCCGAACCTTTGGGGGAACACATAGTTTCCAAATCCTCGCCCAGGTCGTGTCACCTGAAGACGATGCTTGGTTCTCTTCCCGCTGTCGACATTGGTCATCATAGAGTACTCTGTACGCCGAGCGGACTGTATAAATGCAATGTCTTTCCGTTCCCCAGGCCCAGACATATCAGGTCCTGTGCCCCTTGCCGGTGTACTCAAAATCGCATGAGCATCAACAGCTAGAAAGGTTTGTTTGATGAGGTCTTCATTCCATCCTCCACTCGGCGTCATGAGCTCTGCCACCCAGGTGGCTGGCATGTTCAAATCAGAGGTGATCGGTCTCCCTTCAAAGTGGTTAGGAATCCACCGATCAGTCGAAATTCTCGTTGAACTCCCATCACCGATTCTCCTGACCAGCCCTTTCTGTAAAACATCTCTTCCGGCCAAGATCGCTCGCCACGTGTGGCTTGCGTGTTTCTTTCTGGTAGCTGACAGAAAGTCGCATTCATGATAATACCGGCCCTTAAGCACTTTAGCACACAACGACTCCAGGTTCTCAATCAACCTCCAGCCTTGTTTACCAAGCATAGCACGATTGAATAATCCAAGGTCCCTGAAGCCCATGCCGCCAAGTGGTTTCGGCTTGGTCAGTTGTTCCCATCGTTGCCAATGGATGTGTCGACTATCCGCTGAGCTACCCCACCAATAGATGGAGATCACTGTCTTCATTTTACGGCAAGTGTCTTTGGGGATCAGAAAACAGCTCATCGGGTAGGTAGGCACTGCTTGCGCTACAGACTTCAACAGCACCTCCCTACCTGCACAGCTCGCTTCACGACAACTCCAGGCTCCCACTAACCCTCTGATCCTGTTCGGCATATATTTGAAAGCTTCCTTTGTTGCGCGCCCTAAAGCGGTTGGCAGCCCCAAATATTTTTCTGCAAGAGCTTCTGAATTTATCTGCAGCACCGATCTCACTTCTTCTTTAATCTCTGCCTCACAATTCTTGCTGAAAAAAAAACTGCCGATTTGTCTTTGTTCACAAACTGACCGGACCCTCTATTGTATATGTTCAAGATTTCTTGTAGGTGAGCAGTGTTAGCCCACAGGATCACCGGCTCAGGTGAGTCGATCACTTACCAATCTTGTCGACCACGGCTGAGCACGACAGACGTTGTCCGACCACACAATATGGTCAGAAGTAGAAGAAGAGATGGAGAACAGGGCATACACACAGCACAAGTACCAGCGTTGGCCGGAGCTCTGTATGAGAGATGGCAAATCTGAACTATCTTTGTTGAGTTGCAGTGGCAAACTATATATACAACTCTACTCATCTAGTCCTAATACAGCTGCCCTGCTGCAACAGTGACTAGATAACACAACAGGACTGACCTCTGCGTCTGTCCTGCCGTGGCCACAATGAGGCAGGTGAGCCGTTCGACGCCTGCCCCTGCAGCGGTTACAGTACCACAGCAGGGAGCCTTTTCGGCGTCGCCTTCCCTTGCTGTGTGTTCACACAAGAAAATAGTAGATTATCTAACATTTCTTTCCTTAATCCTATTGCTATCCCTTGTACCCCCTCCATGCCGATCATCTCCTTCAGCTCCTTGAGTCGAAGACGTCCGAGTGACTTGGTGAGGACGTCCGCGAGTTGCCGACCAGTTTCGACGAACTCGATGACGATCTGCCCTTCATCGACACAGTCCCTGAGAAAGTGGAACTTCACGTCGATGTGTTTGCTCCGGTCGTGGAGAACCGAATTCTTCGCAAGGGCGATGTCAGGCTGGTTGTCCACCATCAGTGCTGGTGGGTAAGCTTCCGCACCGGTCAGCTCACCCAGCAACCGACGCAGCCACACAACTTGGCACGCCACTGTGGCCGCCGCTACATACTCTGCCTCGCACGTAGACAGCACCACCACCTTCTGTTTCAGTGACAGCCATAAAATTGGAGCCGACCCGAGGAAGACGAGCACGCCAGAGGTGCTCTGTCGTCCGTCGATGTCCCCCGCCATGTCTGCATCGCTGAACACAGTGAGCTACAGCCTACTC